TTTGCCTCCATAACGAACCCACACTGGGAAGACCTGTTGTGAGGAGGAAACTATAAGTTTTCTCTCCCATCGAGGACCAATAGCCATTGCATACAAGGAATGCTTGGGTGCTGTGAAAATTTGGCAAATTGAGCCACCTTATCTCTCAATGCAGCCTAGGGTTAGGGGTTAGTTATAGTTGCTAAAACTGAAGGGGTGCCTGGGTGGCTCACTTGGTTGAGCATCTGACTTCGGCTCAGGTAATGATCTCATGGTTCATGGGTTTGAGTCCCGTGTAGGGCTCTGTGCTGACAGCCAGGGTCTGGAGCCTGCATCGGATTCTGCATCTCCCTCTCTCTCTGTCCCTTCCCCCCTTATGCTCTGTCTCTCTCTGTTCTCTCACTCTTTCTCAAAACAAATAAACCTTTAAAAAAATGAAAAAACCTCTTGTTTTGGTATCTCAGTTTTATGGGTAAAGAAACCTAAGGCCCCAAAAGCTAAGTCTCACAAGTGGTTAATGTTAGGATGGAGACTAGAAGCCTGTTTCTTTTATACTACATCACACTCTTAAATGTTGCAAGGGGTTACCATAGAAGTTGCTCAATAAATGTTTGCTGCTGAATAATAATGACTCTGAAGATGAATTTTTCTTGTAATTCTCATCTAGGGGAGCTGGTTTAAATCACAGTGGAAGTGAGGAGGGAGTCATGTGTAGTTTGAAAACAAAGCAGGTCTTTGTGTTACTGCTTGGTTTGTTTTTAGTGAAGATGTTTACTTTATTTTGAATTTCAAATTACATTAAAAAGAGAACATGAGATTTTATGTTTGCTGAGGATGGTTGTACCTGTAAGGGAGCTCATGTTTTAGCTTTCTAAAGTTCTCTCCAGGATTTTGCTTCTGTGAGTTGAAAAAAAAGTTTTTTCGCTTGCTATTTTTTTTTTTAGTTAAAAATGAAACTAAGAATGGGTGATTTAGGCTGTGAAATGAGTGGATGAGTTGCCTAGAAATCAGTTTCCTTTTGATAGGTAAGACAAAAAAGGAATTGCAGGTGGAAACAACCTATCAGCTGATGTCTATCAACTGATGAATGTGAGTCAGGGAAAATGAAGGATTCCAGAAAATTTTGCTTTTTGCTCCTTTCCCTACTTTTATTCTTGCTGCAACCTGAGCCTCACTTTACATGTGCCTCAGAATGTAAATAGTGTATGTCCTCATTGTAAGGAACAAGGAGTTAAGGATTTCTTTAGAATAGGTAATATCTAAAGAAGGACCAAGTGAGAATGATGGAGGAAGGCATCATGTGCATGTTCTAGACCACAGGAGCTTGACTTCTTGACATCAAGACACCCTGCTTCCAAGAATGACATGTGGGCTCTCGTCTTTATTCCAACCAGTTCCTGGATGCCTGAGAGGACACGTACACCAGACCACAATCCTCAGTAAAAATCCCCAGACCCCAGGCAAAGAACAGACTCTCTCCTTTCCTTTCTGAGTCTCTCAAACACTCCATCTGTATCTATTCTTGCTACATCTTCAATAAACTCTGCTCTCACTTCTTGCTGGCTCATGTTTGATTTCCATCCTGTGCAAAGCCAAGGACCCTCTTGGGAGAAGGAGCCCTTCTGCATCCTCAGACCTGGCTTCTCAGCCAGTGGGGTAACACATGGAATATTATTTGGTCGTAAAAAAGATGAAATACGTAAGTACATGCTATAAAATGGCTGAACTTAGAAACATTATGATGAGTGAAAGAAGCCAAACACAAAAGGGCACCTATTGCATAATTCTATTTATATGAAATGTTCAGAATAGGCAAATCCAGAGACAGAAAGCAGGCTAGTGGTAACTCATACCAGCACTTGTGGGTTCAGGAATGAGGAGTGACTGCTAATGGATATGGGGTGTATAATGGGTATGAAACTAGATAGTGTTGATGTTTGCATGACATTGTAATGTATGAGATGCACTTAGTTGTACACTTTAAAATGGTGAATTGTTTTTCCCCATTGAGGATGATATTAGCTGTGGGCTTCTCATAAATGACTTTTATGATGTTTAAGTAAGTTTTTTCTATCCCAACTTTCTCGAGGGTCTTTATTAAGAAGGGATGCTGTATTTTGTCAAATGCTTTTTCTGCATGTATCGACAGGATCCTATGGTTTTTATCTTTTCTTTTGTTAATGTGATGTATCACATTGACTGATTTGCGAATATTGAACCCAGGAATGAATCCCACTTGATCATGGTCGATAATTCTTTTTATGTGCTGTTCAATTCGATTTGCAAGTATCTTGTTGAGGATTTTTGCATCCCTATTCATCAAGGATATTGGCCTGTAATTCTCTTTTGTTGCTGAGTCTCTGTCTAGTTAGGGAATCAAAGTGTTGCTGGCTTCATAGAATGAGTCTGGAAGTTTTTCTTCAATTTCTATTTTTTGGAATAGCTTGAGAAGAATGGTTATTAATTCTTTTGTAAATGTCTGGTAGAATTCCCCAGGGAAGCCATCTGCCCCAGGGCTCTTATTTGTTGGGAGGTTTTTGATAACTGATTCACTTCTTCACTAGTAATGGGTCCGTTCAGGTTTTCTATCTCTTCCCTTTTGAATTTTGGTAGTGCGTGTGTATTTAGGAATTTGTCCATTTCTTCTTGGTTGTCCAGTGGGCATGGAGAAGGGCACTTGTTGGGATAAGTACTAGGTATTATATGGAAACCAATTTGACAATAAAGTATAAAAGAAAAAAAAAGATAAAATAGAAAAAAGTAAAATGGTGAATTGGATGTGTATTTTACAATGAAAAAAAAAAGGAATTCTGTAAGTGGCTGTTCACTATATCAGCTCTTTCCATGTGTTTATGATTTGTGAATAGGGCTAGGCTTTGGGATGAAAGGGTAGCCATCTTGCCTGCAGTTAATGGTTTCTATATATCCCAAATATACACACACACATATATATATATACACTATTATTTTATTATTATAAAAATATACAATATATAAATTATTATATATCATAATATATGTTTTGATTTAATTTAATATTGTAATTCTATAATATATAACACATAATTATATAGTAATATATATAATTATATAAAATATGTATCTGTTTAGAGATGGGAGTGGAGGGTCAGGTCTTGTGTAAAAATATTTCAGATGAATTCTGTTTCTTCTATAATTCTCTGTGGTCATAGATAAGACCTTGCCTTCTTACTTAAGAGCAAAAGATCTGTTGGAAGAAGGTCTTAAACTTTCTCTTTAAACTCTCACCATTCCCGTCATTGACTTAAGAACTGTGTCTATGTATAGAAAAATCAATAGACTGATTAAAACAGAAAAGTTTAGATCAAGTCTCAATTTATCTGGACTGCAAGTACTCATGCAGATGGAGTGAGAGCACTCGCTGTTTGTTCTGCTTCCTCGTGTGGTTCTTGGTTAGACCTGTTCTCTCGTCACTGTTTCTGTCCCCCTTTAACAAAAGCCCATCCCCCACTGACACAAAAAGTTTGTTTTGTTTGTTGATTTCTTGGTGAACTTTCCTTTGATAATTACTGCACCTTTAGTTAACTCTTTGAGAAACATCTGTTTCAGTGTTGAGGTTACCTTGGGGTCAGAAATTATGTATATATGCTTTGAAATGGGATGTGAGAGAAAATTGGTAGCACACCTTTTTCGGGCATGATTTTGGCAGTCTTTTGTTTCCTTATCTCCTGGATTATCTATTTAAAAAAATCAAATGGTTGTTCTTGCTCTGGCAGCTATAACTAATTTTTCTCCAGACAAAATTGTATTGGCTGTTATGGTTACATTTAAAAAACCTCCAAAGATAGAGTGATTCTCTTAAAGAATATTTATTTTTATTTAAAAATATAATACATCAAAGAGAAGCAGTTACACTTGAAACAAGACATAAAATCTTTTCATTGAATTCAGAAGGAGGATAATTTGCTTTAGTTCACTGTCACTCTGGATGCCAAGAATAAGAATAATTTCCATTTTCTTCCTCTGTGAGCATCAGAAATAAAGATGAGAAATTTCAGTTATAAGTGAAGTCTTAGAATTTTAATTTTACTCAGAAACTAAAACTTCCTCAGTATAATACCTTTTCTTCATTTTGTTCCACATCTTGTGGAAGTCCTGAATTCAGGGATGTTCTTACATTTACTTAGTGTTAAGGATTGAATGTGTCCTCTCCCAAATTTATACATTGAAATCCAGATCCACTTCCAATGTAATACTTTTAGGACCTAATTATCAATTAGATAATTGAGAGGTAATTAGGTCATGAGGGTAGAGCCCTCATGAATGAGATTAGTGCTCTTATAAAAGGGACCCCAAAAGAGCTCACTCCCTGTCTTTCTACCATGGGAGAATATGAGTTTGCAACCCTGAGGAGAGCTCTGACCAGAATGTGACCATGCTGGCACTTTGATCTTAGACTCCCAGGCTCTAGGCTGTGAGAAATAAATTTGTGTTATTTATAAGCCACTCGATCTATAATATTTTATTATGGCAGCTTGAACTGATGAACACACTGAATTTGCTTCTTCAGGCCAACTCCAATATGGTTTAAAGATAATTTATTTTCTCTGTAGATTTCTCAATATAATAATTGTTCTAGGGTGCCTGGGTGGCTCAGTCGGTTAAGCGGCCGACTTCAGCTCAGGTCATGATCTCATGGTTTGTGGGTTCAAGCCCCATGTCAGGCTCTGTGCTGACAGCTAGCTCAGAGCCTGGAACCTGCTTCAGATTCTGTGTTTCCCTTTCTCTCTCTGACCTTCCACTGCTCACGCTGTCTCTCTCTCTCAGAAAAAAATATAATAATTGTTCTATGGCTACCTTATTTGTTTTGGAAATTTTGCTTTGTTGTTTACATTCATAATAAAAAATTCTTGACAAAATTTAAAGTATTCAACAGAAACCAGCATATTATACAATAATTATTTATTACTAAGTAATAAACAACTGTGTTTACACTGATAATGGAAATAAAACCAACACAAATATGGCAGACCCTCATTTTCTAAAGAAATATATCTTTATTGACTTTTTCCATTTTCTTACAAATCAGTTAAAAAATCCATTCTTGAACTTGCATGCTGTTCAATGTTATGATGGCTGCCTACCTCTGAGACTGTTGGTGAGCTGTAGTAAGTTTCCTTAAGCACCACAGAAAATAATCATTGCTTTGTCCCACTTTTACAGAAAAGAATCCAATCCAAGTTTCATTGGATAGAATATGCTTAGCTCTCTTGAAGAAGACCAGTTTAGTGGATTAATGTATAATTTACATACAGTAATAAAGACAAACTTTGAATCTTTACAGATTAAATGCCCACTTTATACCATGGTGTCATTGTTTGAATTATTGGTGAGTGTACAGCATATAGATGTAGATGTACTAGATACGTCTATAAATAAAATAGTGCTTTATGGTAACAATATTCTTTGGCTGATTTAAATGCCTATAGTGGACTCTTTTTTAAAAGACTAAAAAGAAAATGGCCCCACTATTATTGTCAATCTTAACACTGAGCTTGTGCGGAAGGTTCCTATACTGTTGACTGTTAGCATCTCCAGGTCCACGATATATTCTCTTGGTCCTGATAGTGACTTCACCAGCACAAGCATTGCACTTACAGGACTTGTTTGCTAAAATAAAAGACAAAAGAGGAAGAGAGAGGATAATTTTTCTTGATTTGCAATTTCTATTATTTGTGAGTGTATGTAGTCCTATAAGAATTAGGGGAAGAATTTTGAGGATACGATAAAAGTCATTACTTAATTCCTTCTTGGTTTCAACTTTTCTTCGTTCTTTTTCCCTTATCCACACATAGTCATTAGTTCCAAGTTATAGGGACCTGCTTTTCTGATAGTTCTGTGTTTTCTATACATTCCTCACTATTGATGTTTCTCTTCACTTTTATTGATAGTACCAGTCTTTAGAGACTGCAGTTAAGGAGAGAATCTGATAATGTTTGAACTGTTAAACAAAATTATCATCCTTCACTTCTTAGCATTATGTGTTTGTTTACATTCTAGGAGGTGAAGAGACATATTAATAGTTAATTTCAGTAGAATATGGCAAATGCTAAGATATATGAGGTTATGTAGGGTATGTATGAAGATACATTTGGTGAAAAATACAGGGGAAAAGAGAAAGGACCCTAAAGCATTGAGGGAAGACTTCTGAATGTATGAGGATAGTCACCAAAGATAATTGGAAGTTTTGTAACAAAGTATGTTCAGGAGAACTGAATGCAGTTTCATTTTGATGAAGAATGTAATGAGAGCTGGAAAGTACAGGGAGATGAGTTTGAAAGGGTGGTTAGTAGATATGTGAATCTGAATGCCAGAGGAGAGCAGGGATAGAGACAGAAGATTGGGATTTAGCAGTCACTCCAATAGGTAGACATTAGACTAAGACGGAGAATGTATATGTGATAAGGTTGGATCTGGGAGAGGCCAATATTTAAGGAGTGGGCAGAGGAGATGCCATTGAGGGAAGCTGAGAAGAAAGATGATTAAGTGGGAAACAGATGAATGGCTAGCACTGTCCAATAAAGTAGGGAGGCTGAGGGAGACTGGAACTGAAAAATGCCCTTTGGATTTAGCAGTATGGATCCTTCAGGAGGGTAATGGGAACAGAAGATAGAGGGGTGACCAGGAGGCAAGAAAGCAGAGATGGTGTTTACAGGCTGTGGTTTAAGTACCTTGTCTGGGAAGGGAGAGGAGAAAGAAGGAAACATTTAGAGGGAGTCAAGTTGAATATGTAGGTGGTAAATGGGAGTTTGATGGAGCAAGGTTCTAGAGGAGATGGAAGGAAAAACACAGGTGGTGGACTGGCCTTGATTGACAGAAGTGAAACCTTATCTTGGAAGAACTCAAGGGAGAAGGTAAGAAGGGGGACACGTGAACTTAAATTTGCAGGGGTGAGTGGGAAATTCAGGTAACTCATGCCTGTTGGTCTCAGTGGTTTCCGAAAAGTAGGGGAAGGGTCCAAACTGAAAGGATGTCCAAAGTGAACTCGGCTTCTTCTCTACACTGGTTCCTTCTTTCCTATATTAATAAATGGCACCACCACCATTTACTATTGTTTAAGGCAGAAAGTTATCTTTGGAGGTTATCTTTGGTGCTTCCTCCTCCTCCACCTCTCCATAGCCAATGACTTACCAACTCATATAGTTCTTCCTATATCTTCATAACTCTTTTCACTGTTTTTGGACTCACTGCTACCACTACCACCTTAGTACCCCATCTCCTGAACTACTAACTGGTCTTTTCATTTCTATTCTTGTTCTACTCCAATCCAGACTCTGCCATGTAGCCAGGTATCATTTCTAACATTAAAATCTGATAGCAACTCCTCTACCTGAATTCTTAATACCATCTGTAAGGCCCTGCTCATCTCTCTAGGCTTCTCTCAAGCCACTCCACTGACTGCACTTGGAGTTTCAGACCAACTGGACTGCCTCTCCCCCCTCCCTCCCTTTTGCTACTCTTTAATTGCTAGTCTTCAGCTTAAGTCCACATCTTTCGGAAGGCTTCCAGACCATTCCTATCTTCTTAGCAGTTGACTTGTTAGGGATCCACATGCACTTGCACCTCCCTATTGTGACATTCAGCATAGTGTGAGCACTGGCTCAGTGTCTTGAGTATGAACTCCAGTGGGGCAGGAATTGGCTTGGTTTTATTCACTGTTGTGTCTCTAAGATCCAGGATGGTGCTTGCCTCTTGAACATAATAGTAATTCCTTGAAGGTTTTGGTTGAATTAATTCTTTCATTTAAAAATATGTTTTGAGCCCCTGCTAGGTGACAGGTACTTTCCTTGTGCTGAGTATAGAAGAGTGAACTGACAGGTGAAGTTTGCTCTCACTGCACCCATTCTGTAGTGGGTGACAGACCAATGAATACTATGCAAAGTGGCGATAAAGGCTGTGAAGAAAATAGGCTCAGTAAGGCATAGATATTTGGTGGTATGGGAGGGGAGGATGGTATTCTGCCTTAAAGTTTGTGTACTACTTCTTTATAATATGTCTCCTTTTCAAGGGAAGAACATTTTCTCAGTATTCTCAAAAAAGGAATATAAATAAAATTGTATATCTTACGGAAACTTCAAAGACCAGGTCCAGGATCATGACCATCAAAAAACTTTCTTTGGCTCTTCCAGCCAATGTTAATTCTTTGATGTCTTGGACCACGGAATTAGACATAAAATTGCTCCCTTCCCCTGCCCAAAGGTGTTAACTTTCACCACACAGCAATATTTAAAGCTGTTTAAAATAAGTAACTGTATTACATGCACCTGCCATTAGGCTGAGCATATAGTAGGTGCTTAATTAAGGCATTATGATTGATTCTTATGCCTTCTACGCAAGTGGACTTTCAGTAGAGAAATTTTGTAGCATTTAACCCCACTACTTTTTGAATTACGTGATAAGAAATAATCTTAGAATCACTTCTTATTTCAAATAGATTTTGTTTAAAATTAGTTAAAATTTAGCCTGGGATTATAAAAATTGGCAATGTTTTATATCATTCATAGAAAAAAAAGATTTTACTTGAGAAAAACATTGAGAATTTGTATTTGAAAATATCAAGTCGATAAATGCACTGATATGAGCCATAAAACTTTTAAAGTGCTATGTTTGTTGCAAGGGAAATAACATGCTGGAACTTTGCTTAACTGTCAATTACGCTAGAAATTTTATTTTCTTAAACAATAGCTAAAAGTTCAAAATGGAAAATTATTTTTTAAAAAGATTTTGAGAAGAACCTGTTTTATTGCCATGGGTTACAAATAATGTCATTTGTTTGGACCAGAATTATTAAATTGGTATTATCTCAGCTGTGTGAAATTAATTTAGAGTAAACTTCTTACAAATATCTAGTATATCTCAAATTGAAAGCATCAAATGTTAAAGGAATTTATTCTTAGCTATTAGAAAAAAAAGAATAGTAATAGATTTGGGGTTGGATTTTTCTCTTCAGAAGTTGGTCATAAGAAATTAATCATTTCTAATTTACTGGCAAAGAAACAGAATCACATAATTCTGGAGTTGGAAGGGAACTTAAAATATCAAAGAACAGGATAAACATGTAAACATTAAAAATCTGTAAACTTCACCACAAAGATGAATTTCCCAATTTACTTTTCATGTTCTCAAAATGAAATATTGACTTTAAAATTTGATTAAAAATGAAGAGTGCCCAAAGGACTTTTGAGAAAATTGTAACTGGATGAATAACATCCTTAGCGTGAAACAGTTACCGTAACCCTGCAAACTGCTTGGTGGGGTGCCATCATTTTCATATGAAGTGGTGAGCCGTATTTGAAATATGTCAGAATTTTAACCTCACATGAACTTTCTGAGCTTTTGCAGGGGGCCTGGAAGGCTGAGGCATCAGAGTCAGGGAGATCTGCTTGGAAGCCCTTGGAGGAAGAGTGGGTGCTACAAGCCAGTTTAAAGGAAGAGAGGCAAGGGCATGGGGAAGCAAAGATAGCCCAGAGATACCACAAAGAAAGAAATGGCAGAATTTAGAGATAGATTTCCTCTAGTCAGTGAAGGAAACGGAAAAAACAAAGGTGACCTCACATCGTGTCCCTGGAAGTTGCCAAGAACGGTACAACTCCTGGCACAATTGGTGCAGGGGGTTGGGCTCATTTTTCAGGGACTTCCAGGTTTCAGTTTTTGATGTGAATAGAAATAATTTTGCAGATATGATGAGGAATTTATGATTTTTGAAAAGTGCTCTGGGAATTATTTTCTATGTACAATTAAATAACTATCACTAATTTGTGGTATCTATTTGGTGTGTGTGTGTGTGTGTGTGTGTGGTCTTGTGTTTTGCTGGTCACACACAACTCCATTAGAGTCTTCAAGTTGGTTTCTGAGTGACTTTAGAGAAGCTCTTAAATCTGAATCTCACTTTTCTGTAGAGATAGAGAAGAAATGTTAGTATTTCTCTGACAGTGTTACCAAGGGGATTAAACGAGATAATGCACAGAGGAAGACCTTACACAATACTTGCACATAAAAATTCTTTAAATGTTAGCTTTCCTTCCAAGTGAACAACCACCAAACAGCAACAGCACACTTGTACCTTTCCCAACAGCTATGGCTGCCCTCAGTGTACTCACTCTTAGGTAGAACTCTCCATTTTCATTTCCAGATTTAATCCGAAAAGTATTGATAGTGTTGGCATAAATGGTTGTGGCCTGTATCTGGAAGATGTCAGATGGCACAGACCTATCAGATCGAATGCTCATGTATTTGTAGACTATGGACTGGGGAAGTTCTCGGCATACTGCACTCGAGACTGGGCAAACACATCGGCTGCAGAGAAAAACAAATATTTCCCAGTTTAGCCTGGTAAGACCAGAAGCTTCTTACTTTAAAAAGTTCTGATTTTTTCTTACTTCTCTGATGTTAGAACGTAGGGATCTTGACAAGGATTTCGTGGGTAACAACGGAAGCCACCATGATAATTCCAACACATTTCATCTTCCCGACATTCATTTGTGGTCTCACACTCATTTATATCTGTAGACACATAGGGTCAAAGAATTTACTGATCTAAGTAAATTATACCAGTGGCAGATTCAGATTTGCATAGTAAGAGGTGTACTGGGGATCTGGGCTAAATTTAATTTGCTTTTAGACATAAGACTGAGTAGGACCTGAGTTCATTGCATTTAATTCAGGACAGATGTAGCTGAGTCATTCCAGACAGATTAGTATGTGTCATTTCATAATATTTTTTATCAAGTACCTATTGTTCATCTGTTGAATTCAAAGCCAAACGTTAGCCCATTTACCGTGCTCATAAAAAAGTGAAAGACACCAGTTCTGTTCTTGCCCTTGGGTAGATTGTAATTTAGTTAAGAATATAGATATGGCAATAGCTAATTATAAAATAGAATGGAATTAAGTAAGAGATAGATAAGTGCACTAGAAGATTAGAAGCAGAATAAATTCTGCCTGGAGGGTTAGAAGGCTGGAGGAAGGAAGAGGCATTTCAGTTTGGCCTTGAAGTGTGGTGGTTAGACAGGATTTTCATGGTTGGGGTGGGGAGGGCCTTCCAGGCTGAGAAAACAGCAAGCAAAACCTATGGAGAGGGCATCTGACTGTGTGGCTCAAGACTTCCCAAAGGGCGCCTGTGTGGCTCAGTCGGTTAAGGGTCCAACTTCGGTTCAGGTCATGATCTCACGGTTCGTGGGTTCGAGCCCCGTGTTGGGCTCTGTGCTGACAGCTAGCTCAGAGCCTGGAGCCTATCTTGGATTCTGTGTCTCCCTCTCTCTCTGACCATCCCCTGCTCATACTGTCTCTCTCTCTTTCTCAGAAATAAATAAAACATTAAAAAAAAAAAAAAGAGAGTTCCCAAGAGAGGTAAGGCCTAGAGGTGTGGTTTCTGTAAGCACAGCATGCAGGTAGAGACCTGATGCTCTGGGAGTGGATGACACTCTCCGGAGGAGGCACAGCACAAGAAGTGAAGCTATGAAGTGTTCTACCTTGGGCAGGATAGCTATTTAGAGACAGTGTGGAAGAAGGGGCTCTGGTGAGAGGCAGAACAGGAAAAGGCAGTGCAAGGAAGCCAGAAGGGGAGAGAGCCCTAGATAAAGAGGGCTGTAGAAAGGCCAGGCTGGACAAGGACTGATTTTAGATTTGGGAATTAGGAGCCTCCAGATGACATCTGAGAGAACACTTTCACTAGAGAGCCACTATATTTACAACTATAACAACAATAATGAAAATTATATTAATGTTAATATCCCTGGCTATGTCTATCTCCGTTACATTTGAATAATGATTTAGATTTTATCCAATATAAGCCTTTTCTGAATCATTCCTGCTCATAATCAGATACTTTCATTCATTAATTTATTCATTCCATAAGTAATTTACGGAAACCCTGCTGTAAGCCAGCAATGGGCTAGTTGCTGGGATTTAATCTGTTTTTCCTATCAGAATCTCGTGTTCTTTTTGGGAGACCTCTGTTGCTTTCTGCTTTGTATTGTTGAAATCTGCAAGTTTGTCTTAACCCTTCTATTAGCTTATAAACCCCTTGAGGGCAGGGCTATAGTATCCAACTTTATATCCCTTCATCACCTAGCATTAATGTAACTCAGGGGCGTGTGGCTTTTAAGAAATATTAAGTTGAACTAAGTTGTTCTTCACACAAATTATGTAGACATAGGTGAGAAAGATATTATCTCTATTTGACATGGAAGAAAAACAAATAAAGGTTAAGTAAATGGACCAAGTTCATACAGTTAGTGACAGGCATCTTTCCACTGTAAGGTACTGCATCCCCTAAATGGGAATAATTCCATGCCTTGTCTTTGGAGGAAAAAAAAATGTTCTTTTCCTTCCAAACTGGCCAAAGCTATCTGGAACCCAAGAGAGACTGGAAGATTCCAACAGTTTCCAAGAGTCAGTTATAAGAAGTGTCTTCTTTTGGAGGAGCTATGGCTAAAGAAAGAATTTAGAACCCTTAGAAGAAATTACAATTATTTTTCAATATTCTTCACTCTGAAAAATAAAGACGCTGTTTAGCTACAAGGAAAACTGACTGGTTTGTTATATGGAGACCAAGAAGGGCAAAAGGAAACTTTATATAATAATTTCATTTATTATTGCCATTAATTTAGGGCCTAGTATAATTAACAACTTAATCATTCTGGAATGTTTTTCAAAATTATTAATAGTGTTAAAATATTTAATGAATGTGTGTCTGTGTATTCTCTCTGTTTCTCTGTCTTTCTCCTTCTCTGTGGCCTCCTTCACCCCACCCAAACACATACAGTGTTTTCATTTTTGCAAGGCTGTGGAAATGAGAACAGTTATTCATCCTCAAAATGAACTTTTGTGTAAAGGTAAGAATCTGAACTCTTTTGGTTTTACTTTAGTCTATGGGCGAGGTTGGAAAGATGATTTTAGTGGAGAAAACCAATTGCTTTGTACCTTAAAAGAATGTTAAGTCTCTCTCATAAAAAATGTTTTTGCCTTAACCAAACATTCTGGAGCTGCATATCTTCAAGATATAGCACTCGTGAATCCCTTATTTGCAATTCTAGTGCATTTTTTACCTTTAATTGTAACAGATATGTTTTCATATTCATAGAGTAGGCAGGTAAGATACCACTGTATGTTAATATGCTTCTGTCTTTTGCTGAGTATCAAATCCATTTGTGGCCAAAAACACATAGAAATTTTTTTTTTTTGCAAGACTCCAGGGAAATTGGTTAGGATATCCCACTGCTAACATTTTCTTCCATGTAATATTCATGTTAAAAGTCTCAAGCTTTAGAAAGTAAAATTATTGGAATGCAGTGTTTTCCCACAATTAACTTTAAAGTCCCCAGTAACCTGGAAAGGGGTATAAAGGTGTTCATTGTGCAATGAATGGCATTCTGATTATGCTCATAGTTAGTGGGTGGAGTCTAGTTGAATGACCATATGCATACTATAAAATACCAGGTCGTGGGTGTTCCTCTGAGTTAATATTTTCCTGTAAAATCATGATATAGACTGAGAATTGCTAGTGTCTCCTTTCCTTGGTTATTCCTTTTCTGAAGGATTTTACTGCCCTTGTATGTCCTTTCTCAGTTTTGATTAAAGTGGACTCTCTAGAGAAGATTTGCTACTAGTCACTTACATGGCTAAGTACATTTTACAAAAACATCTTGGGGGTGCCTGGGTGGCTCAGTTGGTTAAGTATCTGGTTTTTAATTTTGGCTCAGGTCATGATCATGCTGTTTGTGAGATCAAGCCCTGCGTTGGGCTCCACGCTATTCTCTCTCTTCCCTTCTTTCTGCCCCTCCCCTGCTCATTCTCTCTTTCTCTCAAAATAAATAAATTTTAAAAAATCTTGGATTGTAAGGCTTTATAATTTATGTAAGGCCTTATAATTTTTATGTATATTATTTCATTTCATTCTCACAACTCCCTTTTCCAAATGAGAATGTTAAGGCTCAGAGACATTTGTTAATTAGTTTGGAATTGCACAGATAGAAGGCAGTATAGCAAGTACTCAGATTTTCTGTCTTCAAGTGTAGTCATTTTTTTTTTCACTCATTGACTGGTTTTTGTAAATGTAGGGGTTTATACTAGCCTTTTTAGGATTATCTGTATTTTTGGTTCTACCTGAGCAGACTTTTCCCTGTTAATGAAATTTTGAACTACATGTAGCATTGGAGGTATATAGGTGTGAAGATAACCTGAATGTTTATTTTAAAACTGGGCCCTAGGATATTAATTATTTTTGGATCAATAGGTTTTTTTTTTTTCCTGAAGAATTCAAGAACATTTAATATGCATGAGGATGATTTTCTCTCTCAGTACCTAAATTACTACCCAATTTATAATCTTGGTGTTTTAGAGAATTGAGACTAGTTTGAGGTTTGCCTAACCCACATATTAAGTTTATTCTCTGGACTCAAATTCATGGTGAAATATTTTAATAATTGAATCTTTTCAGGTGGGTGATTAGATGTGTATCATAGAGATTCTATAGGCTATATAGAAGAGATATCAGTATTTTATTAACATTCTTTATATCTTAAGAAAGAAAAACAATTACTTTAAATTTCAAAAAAGTCAGTGTTAACTGAATAATATCCTTTTGATGAGATGTACATGTTGCAAGATGAGTAAGGGAAAAAAGAGCTCAAATCATATATGCAAGATGGAAAAAATGAAAGTTTATGGTAAAGAATCTTGTAACTCTGTCCCTGCTTTTCCTGGTTAAAAATGACACTTAACAGATATGAAAACAATAAACTTACCCTGACATGTTCTACTTCTCACCACTTGGTATCCCTGGGGGCACATACACGAGAATTTCCCAGGTTCATTGACACACTGATATTGACACAGGTAGCTTGAGGTTCTGCATTCATCAATATCTGTTCAATTAGACAAGAGCAAGGACACAGAGTTGAAAAACTTACAGGTCACTACTTTGGTAATATTTTTAAAGATAAGGTAAGAGGGCAAACATACTGTAAACTCCAACACAGGAGTATAATACTTTATAAGAATCTCAAAGGAAAATTCTACAATATCAGCTCATTTCCCCTAGAATTTTGGCACACATCAGTTTTACTCAATTATTGCTGAGAGTTTGGTGAATCTCAGACCTCACCATGCTGACTGAACAGACTGAATGAATGAATTGGGAATTCAAGTGAAGAATGCTTTGCATTTCTCAATGGTGATGTCCTTATAGTTTGCTCAGAAGGGCAGAAGCAGCTTTCCAGAGTCAGGCCATTTTTGTTTTGAGCATAGTGGCATGATGTGAGGCCTCTCCAGGTGGGGTATGACCTCTGTGGCCCAACTAAAGCTGGAAGAAAGTCAAAGACATTAAGTGTCAATGGCATTCCCCTCAGGATGTCTTATACCTTTTGAATTGCATAGTAGAACACTCATGGGCAATGGGCTCTGAAGGTCATCCTTTCAATTAAATGGCCCTCTTTTTACTCATGTGGAAAGTGAAGCCCAGGCAACTTAATAAATGTGCACCCAAGTCACACAGTGGTAGGAATAAGACTACAGGACAGGTCTATTGGTTTATATTTTAACGTTTCTGACATATGACCAGCTCTCTTCAAACTTAACTGTGTGTATAAGTCATCTGGGATTCTTGTTAAATATAGTCTTCTGACTCAGTAGGTCTGGTCTGGGGCCCGAGATCTCTATTTCTTGCAAGTAGAGACAAGGAGGTATCAATGCTGCTGGCCGTCAGATCACTTTGAGAAGCAAGACACTAGAACACCCTTTCTAATTATTAGACCCAGCCTGCATCTAATGTTTCAGTTATTTTGTTCCTTCTCCTTTCTATTGATGATATACTAAAAAGCCAATGTTATCACAGAACTTAATTAATTAAAGAATAGAACTTCCATGGATAAAAATTTGTTTTCATAAATAGGTACATAATTGGATAAAGAAACAGCAAGTATAGGGATTGAACTTATTACAAATTATTTGGAAAATATTTCACCTTCACAGTTGAGCCTGTCACTGCTTAGCTCATATCCTTGATTGCACTGACAGATGAATGAACCAAGAATGTTGTAGCATTGTTGAGCACATTGATTGCTGGCATCACATTCGTTTATATCTGAAAGGAAAAGTTATATGCACTCATATATCTACATCTTCAAACATATCCTAGCTTGTTTGTACCTATGTCATCTAATGATAAGTGAATAATTCCCTAGTTGGATTCTTTGCCCTGCAGAAGCTCACTGGAGAACATCCATTCAGGTTTCATATTTGTTGGAATAACTTCAAACGTCTGTCATACACTTCTTTTAGAAATACCAGAATATTTCTTTCTGGGAATGACAGTTAGTTTTGTGTTTGATGAATCTTTCCAAAAGAATTTAATGATTCTAATAAATATACATTCCAGCATCTATTTTCTTTTATTGTTGTTCAGATGCAAAGTGCCAAGTCTATAAATAATTGATATAAGACATTTGTACTGATACAGTCTCTCAGCATGCTGTGGTGAAGATTTATCTGTGCTATTTATTACTTTTTAAATGGGTTCTGTTAAATTCCATTACAATTATAGCATAAGCCGTTGAGACCCATACAGAGTTTTGCAATGCTCCAAGGCACTGAAAATATTGTGAAAAGGCATTTTTCCTGCACTAGATTCTTTCCATGTCATGCCAATCTTAAAATTTGTGCCGTGACACTGCATTCTGAAAGGGGAGAAGAAGCATGTAAAAATCAGATGCACTTTCAGTGGAAAGTTTATGTACTTGAACTTGCGGTAACCCTTTGGCACCTTCAGTGTTTATATCACACACTGCTGACTAATTGGTGTGTGTTTATCAGTTGATCTATAGTTTTTTATATTTTTGATACACCCACAGAGGACAACTAAAAACCAGCTTAACAAAGTTTCCATTCACATCTTGATGTGTTTTAAGAGACAAATTGGTTATTGTCTTTTCAGCTTTATGCAGGGAAAATGATGGAAACCAGTTGACCCAAGAACACAGACAGACTGGAAATAGCACAACATGGCTTGACGCTTGCTGTTTTTGAAGACAGAAATCAGTCAGTGTGGCGGCTCCCCAGAAGCTTACCTACGCAGGTATAGTTGTTTGCGGCCAACTGAAACCCAGGACTGCACTGGCAATAAAATGATCCTGGCGTGTTCACGCATCTTTGGTGGCAATATGGAGGGATGGTGCATTCATCTATGTCTGGGTTATCAGGCACACACAAAAAGAACCAAATTATTAATTATCCATAGCTGTTAGCTCTTAAGTTCTCAGCAGGACATTATCTAGGAAACCTAGCTGGAGAAAATCTCCTTTTAAAAGTAATTCTATCTTTTTAAATTAGGGTAAACATGTTTTAAATATACTCTGTGTTCTGCAGTTTGAGTGGGATGTTAGAAACAAAGACTTCATAAGCTGGTTGAGTGGGTTGAGATTTAAAGACAGAAAAGTAATTAAGACTATTTCACATGTATGTGAGAAGGTTAGTTTGGGGATCTAAAAAATATTTGTAATGACAAAAGTAGAAAACTACAGAAGAATTGAGTGAAGTAGCATAATCTAAGAGATAGGAGGTGTGGTCTGCTGCTCAGTTGGTAATGCTGGCAAAGTCTCCTAAACCTTTGGTATCTGGATTTTTTTCTTTTGTAAAATGTGGATAGTAACACTTGCTATGTGTATCTTATCAAGTTTCTGTGAGAATCAAATGAAAGAATGCTGTAGAAGGAATAGGATGCTAAACAAATTACTTCTTAAGACTGCCCTCTGACACACTGATGAAGTGTTCCAGGCTGTGTTCTTCTCAGATAAATATTTCCAACTATAAAATCCTCAGTTGAGAACTTGCGGAGTAGGATTAACATTTTAGAAGCTTAATAAAATTTCATTAACTCTACCCTTTGTGACAATCCTAACATGGAGTGCGTGATTTAAAATAACAATTATGCACGTACAATGTAAGACCATGTAGTGACACTAACTTCTGGTAAAAAACCAAAAACAAAACGATAATGCTGAGCCCTTCTAACTAAAACCGTGGAAGGCAGGATGCTCGAGTGGCCTCAGGATAACCTGAGTTGGAATCTTTGTTCTGGCAATTACTAGCATGGTCTTAACCACTCAAAGCTTCCATTTCCTCCTCTGTAAGTGGTAATACAACAATATGGTCAACCTGTTGGTAGGATAACATGAGATTATGTAGGCAAACTTCCTTGCACAAAATGGGCAAAAATAAGTGGGAGCTATTATTAATAAGCTGCAAAATAGATTTGATTTCACTGAATCAATTGAAATTAAAGGTAATGATATTGACATGGTTTTTTTTACCTCATTTGTTGAGGCATCTGCTCAAATGTCACTTCAGGGAGGCCATCTCTGTCCATCATATAAAGTAGCTTCTTCGGCCCCATCTGTCTCCTTTTCCTACTTTATGTTTCTTGTAGCCATTGACACTCCTTGGGATTATGTTATGCATTTATTTGCTTCTTGTCTGTCTCCCTCACTATGGATGGCAGAGCAGACCTGTATCCTTTTGAGGTGAAGGCAAAGTATTTTTTGTCTGTTCACTGCTGTGTACTTAATACTTGGAATAGGGTCTGGCATAGTAGGTGCTCAATAAACATTAGTTGAGTGAGTGTAGGCATCATACTAATTAAGAGCAATTTTAGCAGTATTCTAGCCAAATGCCAGTACTGACAGCTAATTTGTATAAATGGTGCCTTCTAACAGCTCCATGAGGGCTGTGATTCTGTGCACCACGATGGCCTGGCACTTAGAACAGTATGTGGTACATAGTCAGCCCTCAGTAATACTTGAGGCATGTCTTCTCACCCAGTAAGCATCTATTGAATCATTGTTATTTGCAAGTGCTGTGCTTGACACTGCAGGTTTTTAATGATGATAAACACAGGTACGTTATACCTTGCTTTAGCATGGAAGAAAGGCATGAAAGCATATTACTGCATGGAATGATAAGATCAACAGTAAGAAAGCTATACAAGGGACAGAGAGAGCACCATTCTACTCAAGGTGTGGCCTGCTGACCACTGCTGGTCCATGGACTATTTGGACCAGTCTGATACATGTAAGTACAGAAATTCAGAATATGTGTTTAGGAATAGCAATTTGGTGTTGCCACAGCATTTTTATTGTATTTTACAGTAGTATAGATCTGTAACAGACTAGAAATTTACAAAAAAAAGATTAATCAAGGGGTGTCTGTGTGGTCAGTAGTTAAGTCTCCTACTTTAGCTCAGGTCATGATCTTACAGTTCATGAGTTCGAGCCCTGCTTCAGGGTCTGTGCTGACAGTGTGGAACCTGGGACCCACTTTTAGTTCTGTGTCTCCCTCTCTCTCTGCCCCTCCCCCACTCGTACAAGTAAATATTAAAAAAAAATTTAAATATCCATCAAGGTTTGAGAAATACTGATATAGAGGAGGGAGTAACTAACCATATCTGGGTAAATCATGGAAGACTTCCCAGAGAAAGTGACCCTGAGACGGGATTTGGAAGTTGAATAGGAGTTTGCCAGGGATGCATTTTCCTGGCGCTGAAAGAATGTAGAGTTGGTTCTGTGGGTGAGGGGAACACCAGGGAAGCCCCATGATTAGATCTGAATTTAAGAATGTTTCTTCCTACCCTATCACGTAGGGCTATAATTATACATTTTATTATCTTTAATTGTTCCCATAGTAGGTTGAGTTCTTTTTCTATACCTTTTATGCCCTCAGTTGTTTATTTTCCTGACTAATCCAGTGGGCAAAACTTTGGTGCCTGTGGAGTTTTCCACACAGTCTTTTCCTAAATCAGTTTCAGTCCCACAAACCCTGGCCCTTCCTCAGAGGCTGGGCACTAATCCTGGCACCTGGCACAAACCCATGGCAGGCAGAACTGGTCCAGGGACCATGAGGAGCTCAGTGTTGACATCCTGACGTCAACAGCTAGCATTCTCAGACGAAAACTGATGCTAGCTCTCTGTCCCCACATTCTTATCCTCTGTTCCTAAAAGAAGGACTTTCCACTGATGTATGGTAAAAGATGGTATGTAAATCAGTGTCAATATCATATGAATGCAACTGACACAGGGAGTCAATTTACAAAGTTTCATTCCTGGTGCTGGACCTCATGACTGATCCCAGAACACATTTACGTTTTACTGTTTACTTCTTATTTGCCAGTCAGGTTCCTCATACTATGTTCTTCCAGTCATTAAAAAAAAATGCACAGAGCATCTACTCGGCAGGCACTCTTCAAGGACTGGGGAGACAGCAGTGATGCAAACCAGACCTGGCCCCTGCCTTCAGGTAGCTCAAGTAGAGTTCTCAAGTAGGGGGACATGCTAAACTTGGCTTTGCGTTCCCAGCACTGCACCCACTTGCAACATAAAGAATGTTTGGTACATGTCTGTTAACTCCTCACATAATGATAGCACACAGTTATTCCATTCAGGACCAGGCACTATTCTAAGCATTCCCACACATGAGCTCCTGAGGTAGGGGCTAGTATTATCTCCATAGTACTAAGGAAAAAAGTAACATACAGACTATGTAAGCCACTTATCTAGAGCCTCAAAGTGTGTTGGGGGGAGAGCTGGGATTTGAACCTCATCATTTGCCCCATAAGTTATGCTATTTTATGAACCAGTGAATGAGGCTAACATCATTAGTGTTTTAGTGCTATGGCTCCCAAACAGCTAATTTAAAATCATCTCCTTGGTTGCTTTTGTGGTCCCATTCATACGCCAAATTTCTTCTCCTGCTTAGTCTAACATGTAACCAACACTTTCATATCCAGAATATGCTCACCCTTTAAGGTTAGCTCTTTCTCGTTAATGTGGAAAATGGACCAGTGGTCAATGAATAAGCAGTCGTTAGCTACTTATTCATTCTCCAAATAAATATGAGCTCTTTATTTTGACTGACTGAGGTTTAAGCAAGTAAGAGGTTTAGGACAAGATTTTGCTTACTGTTCTGCTGTACTCACCTACACACTGCTCTCCCCGCTTCTGGTACCCTGGGGGGCACTGACACGCGAAGGAGCCTCGTAAATTGATGCACACTTGGTCAGCTCTACAGTTGTGAGTCCCGGCAGTGCACTCGTCTATGTCTGTTAAAGAAGGCAGCGCAGAGTTTGAGTTGGTTGGGCAGATGTTACTATCTCCCCCATTTTAAAAAGCTGAAGTATGGTTGACATATAAGGTACATGAGTTTCATGTATCCAACACCGTGATTCAACAACCCCACAAGTTATGTTATACTCACTGCAAGTGTAGCTATCATCTGTCACCATTCAATGTTATTATAATACCATTGACTATATGCCCTATGCAGAATTGCCATAATACTTTCTTTTAAAGAAATAAAGTTTTTGCCCTATTCTTAAGATAATACTCTGCAATATTATTATATTGGAAATGTTTAAAATGATAAATGATTTCAAGGGTTCAGATAATAATTTCGTAGATGCCTGTGTTTACCACTCAGATTTAACACATGCTACCATTTAGCTGTATTTGCCTTAGCTCATTTTATTTTCAGAAGTAAAACATTTGAGATACAGCTAAAGTCTTACTGTATTCTCATCTCTTTACTCACCCACCTGCCACTATCCTGGTAGGTGTGAATCCTTCTCTGAGATATTTTTATATATTTATTACATAGATATATATCCATTAGAATATACAGTATTGTTTTGTGTTTTAAAGTGTAAACAAATTGTATAATACTGGCTTTTTCCACCCAATATATTGCATTTGAGATCATTTACATTGACCAATCTCTAAAAATCTGTCCAATAACGAGGTATAAGTCAAAATTTAATACTATGCATTTTCTGTTGCCTTTTTAAAAAAAAACCTTTCCTTTCAAATTTCAAAATGCAAAGGATTCAATTTGATCATATTTGTCTAGGGGAGATAGACTTGTGTAGTTTAAAATACATATTTTCCCAAAGCGTTTTATTTCAGTTAAAAAACCAGATATTTCCCCAAAGCAGTTGTATAATTTACTAAATGCACTCTAAGGAGTAGGTAGATTATAGTTCTAGAAAGGTAAAAAGTGCTCAGTCATAATATAATGAATCTATTATAATGGATTCCTCTGGGAATCCTGATGTGAATTTGTGTGTGTTTACTCATATTACAGTAATTTATAAGTGAAATTTAATTTTGCCTTTTCAACATTACCTTCGCATTGTTTTTTTTTTCTTTTTTATCTTCACATTTAATTAACTCTCACATTATGAAGTTAAATAGATGAGTTTGGAAGATGAAAGGATCATGTGATTTTGGCATTCCCCAACAACTGAAGAGTCTAAGCTTTGTTAAAAAGTATTGTACAACTCGGGGCACCTGGGTGGCTCAGTCAGGTAAGGATCCGACTCAGGCTGTGGTCATGATCTCATGGTTTGTGAGTTTGAGCCCTGTGTTGGGCATTGTGCTGACATCTCAGAGCCTGGAGCCTGCTACAGATTCTGTGTCTCCCTCTCGGCTCTCTCTGTCTCTCTCTTTCTCAAAAATAAACATTAAAGAAATCTTTAAAATAAAAAAAAATATATTGTACAACTTGGAATTTCTAGATGACAATTTTTGCATAAAATCTGAGACAGGCTTAGGGCAGGCTTAGGGAGCTTTTGATCATCACTGCGGCAAATCCAGGGTGGTGCTTTGAAACAAACAGTGGGCTAAAATTCAATACAAAAAGTGAGTCATCCGCAGTGAGAATGTATTCCTCAATTCCTGTCTTCCCTTGAAGGAGCTCAGAGAGTGGCTCCTGGTATGTTGCCTTTCAGCTCTATTTCCAGGGAGAACTGCTGCACTTATGCTACTAATGTAATAATGTGGGAGGTTCCGGTTAGAAGAGACTTGTCCTCAGATGTTGGCTTTGAATGATAAAAGAGATTCTTTCCGAAAGGAAGAGGGAGGGGAGATGAAAATACTTGAGGGATGTATGTCTGTTTATTGGATAATACCCTTTAAAAGTATCTACTTAACATAATTCTTTGAACCTAGTTTTAAAATTTTGGTAAACTTCTTTTGTTACTGTTTTTTATTTTTGTTTTGAAATCCATCATCATCATCATCATCATCATCATCATCATCATTTTCAAATCAATGATTTTAACTCTGTACTTCTAAGGTCCTATGCAGAGGTGCCATGATCTTGCTTTGAAATTATCTGTTCTTTTTTGTGTCTTCTTTTATTTTCTCTTACGCACTTGATGGAAACATTTCTACAGGGGTTTCTTTCAGAGCTTTATGACTTGCTAATGCAGAAATGACAGCAGAATTCCTATTGTTTTATGTCAAGAACATTTGCCAGCATTTGCAGTGATAACAGCCCTGAGAGATACAGAAATGTGAGATTCAGATGTGGCAAGTTCCCTCAGTACACGCTGGCAGAAGATCAAGGACCGGGGCTGGCTGCTGCGTTTTCTAAGGGAGGCCTCGCCAGTGAGGGAGGCTTTTCTTTCTGAGACTTCCCTGCAAACCGCCTCCACCCCATCGCATTCCCCATGTCCTACAATTTCCTTCCTACTTTCCTTCAGTTCTAAGGTTCTTTGATAAATAGGGTAATATTTCCAGGGGACCTAATATATCATTAAATAGGTTTCAAACATAAACATTGTGCCACCTGGACATACTCCATCTTAAGAACCAGGTCCATTTACTTTCTGAGAAAGATTATTGAATAAAAATATTAAGTGAGTTAAAATAATTTAATAGTAAAAAAATTCCATTGCCACTATAGTCTTTTCCTTTCTCTATCCAACAGTCAAAACTGCCACAGGACTCCTTGCACCTAACACTGACTTGTGATATTTTCCACATACTTTGTACATACTTGGACTCACTTTAATTTTTAATTCTTTCAGATGGGAAACTTCTTGGAATTCAATAAAACACAATTGCATGAAATCACCTTTACAAAATTATTCCAAAGGAGTTGAGTGTTTACCTTATCATATACCTAGGGCTGGACTGCTAGGGATTGAACTGATTACATTTTCATTTATTGTCCACCACAAGCTTAGAATATTTATCCTCTCCTTTGCTCTTAGCAGTTTATCTAATGGTAAAGGATACATGGACAGGATTTTTTGAACTATCTTTGATTATACTGTCAATTCATTAGTTTATTAAAAATTTTTTTTCATTAGTTTGTTTAAATAACATAGTTTTATGATTTTAAAAGTTGTACTTTAAGACCCTGTTATTGGGGCACCTGGGTGGCTCAGTCAGTTAGCATCCGACTTCGACTCAGTCATGATCTCATGGTCTGTGAGTTGGAGCCTCACATTGGGCTCTATGCTGACAGCTCAGAGCCTGGAGCCTGCTTCAGATTCTCTGTCTCCCTCTTTCTCTACCCCTCCTCTGCTCATGCTCTGTTTCTCCCTGTCTCTCAAAAAATGAATAAAAAAAAAATTAAGACCCTTTATTACTTATTCACAAAGCATATGTCATATGAGAAAGTCATATAAGAATCGTTATAAATTGTTAAACTTTTTTACTCTTTTTTTTTTTAAAGGTTTTATTTTAAAGTAATCTCTACACCCAATGTGGAGCTCGAGCCCACAATCCTGAGATCCAGAGTTGCAAACCCCAGGGATTGAGCCAGCCAGGCACCCCTATGCTTTTCTACTTGTGTGCATTTCTATATTTCTTAAATATCAGAAAGTTAATGCGATAGTAAAGTCACTAAAACACACATCTATGTCAGAGACTTGGAGCAGAGCATCTGTCCTTATGTGGGTATACCAGAAGGCCTGCTTTTCCCAGGCCTCTGTGGTAAGAATATCTCTAGTGGCAAAAGCACTGTTTTATACATATGGGAAACTACTCCGGTCAGCCATGATTTTCCTGGTAATCTATGAAAACGTACTTGGGGGAGAGGAGATGCTGTCTTGTTTTTCATCTAGCTTACAGGGTTCTTAAGCAGTTAGTTAATGCATTCCCTGAGCCCTGGACCCAAACTCTTTGAGGATGCGGTCTACATCTTACTTTTTTCTGTGTTCTTTTGTTTTAAAATGTTTATTAATTTCTTTTGAGAGAGAGAGAACACGCGAGTGAGCAGGGGAGGGGCAGAGAGAGAGGGAAGGAGAGAATCCCAAGCAGGCTCCTGTCAGTGGAGACGCTGATGTGGGGTTTGACCTCATAAACTATGAGATCATGACCTGAGCTGAAACCAAAAGTCAGATGTTTAACTGACTGAGCCATCTAGTGCCTAGCAGAGTGCATGAAACAGTGGGTTTTCAATAAATGTTTGTTCAATAAGGGGATGAGTGATGATAATTGTTTGCTGGGAACTGATGCCTAGAGTTTAAGGAAAGTAGGGTCAGTGTTTTATCTCATGGAACTAATCATTTACAAAGTAGGTTAACAGGCAAGATGTGAGAAACAGCAAAACCAGCAAGATGTCAGCACATGGAAACTGAAGTAAAGCAGTGGGGTTGAGAACTGCAGAAACTAGGAAGAATAAGGCAGCATCAGAGCTGGGCGGCTGTGGAAGCTTTGCCAGGGCAGGTAAGTTTGGAGCTGCATTTTAAAGAAGGTGAGGAGGCTATTTCTAGGCAGGAGGCATGTCACATTAGAAAACATGCCATGAAACAAAGCACTTTGCATGAGAAGAATGGCAGACGGCTGGAGTCAGCATGGCTGGGGGGCCAGTGTATGAAGAGCCTGGTGCAGTGCCTACTTGAAGGTGCTCAGAACATGGTGGCTCAAGTCATAAGCAAAAATTCAGGGCCTGAAAGGTGGGATTGGAATTTGAATTGAACACCACAGGGAACTGTACTAAACTATGTAGACACAGCCTAATGTAAACATAGCCAAAGAACAAAATAATAGAGTGTGCTTCCTAAAATATCACAACACGTAAATCAACTCACATTTCATCATTCTCATGCATTAAGAATAGCTAATGGCAGTATTTGGTGATTCCCTCATTTTTCAAAAATGTGCCCACACTCTCCCTCCTAGTGATTTATACTGTTGTAGGGCCCTTTCTTGCTGATTTTGGCACCATTGTTGCTTCAAATAATGCAGTCTGATCTTTGCTCAGCTCTCGCTCCTAGCCTCTTTATCACACTGACCCCCAGTCTATGGAACT